GGGGGGGGTGGGGGGGGGGTGTCCCAGGCCGTGGACTGGAGGGTCCTGGCTGCTTGGGGACCAGGAGGCTGTGCTGGGTGAGGGATGGGCCTGATCCAGCCACGCACAACCCAAAATTGCCCGATCTCTGCTTTTCTTGTCCCCCCCCCCACCCCAGCCTTTCCTACAGCTCACTGCTCCCCAGCATTTGGTGGGCTTTCTTTGCTGGGAGCAGGGGTACGAGGCCCAGGGGATGCTCTGCTCCCCCCCGCCACCATCAGGAGCCAAGAGCTGGTGGGGGAGGGATGTGCTGCAGCTGGGCAGAAGCTGCCGACGCTGCTCTCCTGGAAATAACCTTGCTGCATGCTCGGAGGCAGCGTGAGAAATTGCTGAGCAGAGCGCTTTCTGCACAGCCCGCGCGACCGCGCTGTCAGCACGGTGCAGGGGGGGGAACGGGGAGAGGGGGGAGGCTGAGCTCTGCCCCTACCACGCAGCCCCCTCCCCTCCACAGGCAGCCCCAGCCTCCACAGGACAATGGGGAACCTCAGCTCCCATCAGGCAGGGGGTCCCATGGGTGGGGGGGATCCCCCTGCGTTTAGAGGATGCTCAGATGCAGGTGGGGTGTCCACGCTGCCCCACTCGCATGGGTCAGGCTGGTTGCATACTGACCCTGGGCTCCTGACAGCCCCCCCACTGTCACCAACAGCAGGGACGTGTCTGCTGAAGCAGCTGGCAAGGACCAGTGTGCACAAGGCAGGACCAATTTGGGGGACCTGGGGTGGCAGCATGTCCCACAGGGGCACTGGGCCAGCAAGGAGAGGTGACCTGCTCCTCCCACGGTGACCTTCATCTGGCGGCACGGAGGGGACAGGGATGCCCACATGGCACCCACTCTGCCACGGGTCAGGAGTCCCTTCCCCACAGCCAGGCCATGAGCAGACCTGCACCAATGTCACACGGGGGTGACACTACTGGAGCGGTACCCAAGCCCCGCTCTGAACCTGGGGGGGCTGTGGGTCCCTCTCCCCGGCGGAACCCCAGCATCCTGGTGCTGCTGGCCTCCAGGTGCTGCCCGATCCCTGGGGAATAACCCCTGCAGGGCACAGCACGGAGTCAGGGGGAATTTCCCAGCCCCTTTGCTGGGGAAGGGAGACCCGGGGCAGCCTTGTCCCCTTGCCCCGGCTGCCCCAGGTTTCCAGAGGCGAGGAGGTGGAGGAGCAGAGCTCATTACCAGCGCCTGCCCCGGTGAACAATGAGGCTCCCGGCACCGACAGCTGTCTGGCGGCTAATGGCCCCCGGGGGCTGCCTGCAGCCGGGGCAGCGGGGCGGCACCTGGGCAGGCGCAGCTGGACGTCCCACAGCCCCATCCCCACCTCCCACCCAGGGCAGCCCCACAGGATGGGACCCATCCTGCCAGGATGGAGCCAGGACAGTCTCAGACTCTGTGTCATCAAGGCAGCACCAGCGCTCAGGGACAACCACTGGGTCAGAGTAGGGACAGGGACTGGTGGAGGGGGGACAGTGCCAGTTCTGCACCCGCAGCGGGCATTTTTGTCTCATGGCTTTCCCCCATCCCCGGTGGGGCTGGCCCGGAGGGACGGTGACCCCGCTGTGTCGTCCCCACAGGGTACCTCCAGCACTGCTTGGCACCCTCCGGCTACGACACCGACAAGAAGCAAGGTCTGCCACCGCCGCCACCGGACCCGGCCTACGCACCCGGCCACGAGGAGTACAGTGACCCCGAGAGCCCCCAGTCCAGCTTCTCCGCCCGCTACTTCAACGGGGAGGCGGCGGTGACGGACAGCTACTCCATGGACGCCTTCTTCATCACGGACGGGCGGTCGCGCCGGCGCAGCGAGAGCCAGCGCCGCGGCAGCCACCGCCACTCCTGCCCCGAGTGCGGCAAGACCTACGCCACCTCCTCCAACCTCAGCCGGCACAAGCAGACCCACCGCAGCCTGGACAGCAAGATGGCGAGGAAATGCCCCACCTGCGGCAAGGCTTACGTCTCCATGCCCGCCCTGGCCATGCACGTCCTCACCCACAACCTCAAGCACAAGTGCGACGTGTGCGGCAAAGCCTTCAGCCGGCCCTGGCTGCTGCAGGGCCACATGCGGTCGCACACCGGGGAGAAACCCTTCGGCTGCTCCCACTGCGGGAAGGCCTTTGCTGACCGCTCCAACCTGCGCGCCCACATGCAGACCCACTCCGCCTTCAAGCACTACAAGTGCAAGCAGTGCGAGAAGACCTTCGCTCTCAAGTCGTACCTCAACAAGCACTACGAGTCCGCCTGCTTCAAGGGCTCCGAACACAGCTGTGCAATAGGGAACTAGCCCGCCAGCCCCCTGTGGCGCATCCCCACCCCTGTCCCCATCCCTGTCACCATCGCCATCCCTATTGCCGCCACTGTCCCCATTCCCATCCCCATCCCTGTCCCCATTGCCATTTCCATCCCTATTGCTGTCTCTGTACCCATTCCTGTCCTTGTCCCTGTCCCCATCCCTGTTTCCATCTCTGTCCTCATCCCTGTCTTCATTCCTGTCCCCATCCCTGCCTCCATCCCTGTCCCCACCACCATTCCCACCCCCTATTGCCATCCCTGTCCCCATCCCTGTCTCCATCCCTGTCCCCGTCCCTGTCCCCATCCCTGTCTCCATCCCCGTCCCCATCCCTGTCCCCATCCCTGTCCTGGTCCCTGCGCCAGCTCTCCTGCAGCTTCAGCCGGCCGGTTTGTGGCTGGGCCGTGGCTGGAGGACACATCCCCACAGACTCACTCCCCACCTTGGACGAGGGTACCCCCAGCACTCCCTGGGAAGGGCTGGATCCAGCCGGGCCCACCGCAGGACCCGGTTCCTTGCCCGCAGGTCCCTGAGCCCCCCCGCAGCCAGGCAGGTCTCTCTGCGGGGGACTCACACGGGCACCTCTTCCACACCCAGGAGAGACTTTCCTCCCCCACCTTGTGACATTCACCTCTATTTATTTAATTTATTACTATTATTTATTTAGAGCTGCTGCTTCTCCTCCCGGGGGATCCTGGGAGAGAAAAGACACTTTTCGGCTCCCCCCAGGAGCAAATCCTCACCTTGACCCTAACACTGATGGGACCACGGGCTGGTGCTACTGACAGCTCAGCGGGACTGATGGACGGTGCGGCTGATGGGAGGGCAGGGCTGTCTGTCACCCTTGGAGGCTGGGGGTCCCTGCAGCCCACCACCCGGGCCTTGGGGCACCCTGATGCCCCCCTGCCCGGCACGGTCCCGTGGGACACAGCCCCGTGGCATGGTGCTCACCCTGGCACTGAGGCTCCACAGCCCCGGAGTCAGGGGAAGAGTGAGGGGCTCCCTGCAGAGACCTGTGGGACGTGTCCCCTGCCAGCTCCCAGCTCTGCCAGGCACAAGTGGCCCCTGCCACGGTGATGGGCTGGGGAACAGCCCCCCCGGGCAGGTGCTGCCCCCCTCACCATGCGCACAGCCATGCTGGTAGCTGGGCTGGAGACCCAGCCCTTGGGCAGCACCAAAACCCCAGCCGTCCCCCACGCACCCCCAGCCTCTGCCCAGCCCCCTCCCCAGCCGGATCCC